AAGTTCAGGACCTGCTCTTTGGCAGGTTCAAACCAGGAAGCTCTAACTGGAGCTGTCAGTCATCTTCCTATCAGCCTCCTTATGGGAGCTCCTGGGAAGGTGGACCCAAAGACAACAGAGCAGCTTGTGACTTCAGGTGAGCTTGTTGAATTGCATTAAAAATGATTATTCCTGGCACTAACAAGTGGTCCTCTAAGGATTATTACTGAATAAATGTATGTGAAAAGTCCTGAACATTACTACGCATTAGTATCCTCCAACTGCAGCAGCCCACGTGCTCATATCGTGTCTTCCTGCTCCATAGCAGAGTGTGAAAACGGCTCTAGATCTTATACAGATGTGTTTAATCTCTAAAAACTAAAGAGGCATTTATAAAAAAGGACACTCTTTTTCTGTCTGTTTTCTTCTGCCAGTACCTCAGTACGAATCTCCATTTACAGTTGTCAGCAATTTATCCACTCTTTACCTTGACTGGAGTCACACCTTCTCACTGAATGGGCCGCTGAAGGAATATGTGCTAATGGAGGGAGGGCAACGCATCTACAGCGGCTTTGACACCACTCTGTATCTGCCAAGGACATCCGACAAAAGTCAGTTTGAGTTTCACAATTCTGTTTCTGGCTAATGCGTCACATATATATCTAGTTTTATGAGGTACCTTTATACAATTTGCACTCCACCTTTTGAAACAACTGAACCTCAAGGCAGCAACCTATAGAGTGATTTCCAAGTGATACTCAGAGTAAACCTACTGGAAATCAGTGGTCTCAAATTAAGAACATAAGAAGAACCTGCTGGATTGGGCCAGTGGCCCGTCTACTCTGCATCCTGTTCTCCCAAGGCCACTCTCCCCTCCTGCAGTATCAAGCAACTTGTATTCAGAAGCATCTCTGCCTCTGAGGGAGGAGGTGGAGCATAGCTATCATGGCTGGTATCCATTGATAGGATGTATCCTCCATGGAATAACTTGCATTAGTGTTGTTGGAGTACATGCAAAGAGACAGTTGACATTTGTAGCTATCTTAGATTGGGGATGGAGGGTATCTATCAGCATGTGCAGACCAAAGCAAATTGAGGCCTCCTCTCCTTGAGCACTGGAGTACTGCTAGCATTAAAACCCCCTGGGCCTATCATTAAGTGAAGGAAAAATGGTGATGCAGCTGCTTCACTATGCATTAAATGCAACATGTACCTTAACCCTGAATTAACATTACTTAGCTAACAAGTTGGTGAGGTGTGAGGGGGACTTAAGACTTCTGTTGTCAGATGAAAGGGGAAAATACACTCACATCCAAACAGACTGCTGGGAAATGTGGTTCTCGGGCCTTAGAAATATGGAAACTGTTTGGCAGATTCCTTCATGTGTATAGAGCTGTTTCCTGAATGGAAGCCAAGTAGAGTTTTATGTGGGTGGCGCTGTGGTCTAAACCAAGCCTAGGGCTTGCTGATCAGAAGGTTGGCGGTTTGAATCCCCGCAACAAGGTGAGCTCCCGTTTCTCGGTCCCTGCTCCTGCCAACCTAGCAGTTTGAAAGCATGTCAAAGTGCAAGTAGATAAATAGGTACTGTTCCGGCGGGAAGGTAAAAGGCATTTCCATACGCTGCTCTGGTTTGCCAGAAGCGGCTTAGTCATGCTGGCCACATGACCTGGAAGCTGTACGCCGGCTCCCTCAGCCAGTAAAGCGAGATGAGCGCCGCAACCGCAGAGTCGTCCGCGACTGGACCTAATGGTCAGGAGTTCCTTTACCTTTACTTTAGAGTTTTATGCAAGTATCAGAACATACAATGGGCTCTAGATCAGCTACCTCCTTTATGGTCTATTAAACCCTTTGTTATGCTTCTAGGGCAATGTAAGAGTATTTTCTCTTGGTCCCTTCTCACTTTGTGTTCTGCAGACACAGAAAGTCACACCCAAGTCTGAATACTTGCAATATCCTTAGTGGGAAGGCATTAACCATACCACATGCAGTAGTAATTAAAATACTTAATAGGGAGACGATAAAAGGAGTTTTCTGTTTTCAGGAGAAGCTGTTTTCATAGAATTTAGATGCTAATGATTATGTTTTGTATATGAAATAGATCAATAGCCACACTTAGGCTGGTCATACGTCCTACATTGCAGAGGACAGTTCTATGTTTGAAGGGCTGTTATTCCTCTCTTTCTGAAGGCCCCGCACCCAGCAGGAAAAGACTGACTGGATTCCCTGGATGGCAGGGCCAGCCCATCCATGAGGCAAGATGAGGCAACTGCCTCAGGTGGCAGGATCCACAGAGGCAGCACATCCCAATGTAGAACTTTATTCCCCACTCCTTCCTGATGTAGATCTTCACTCACTCCTTCTTCCCTGGTGGGGAGGGAGGAGCCATTTTGTGCTGAAATGTCTTGGGCTGGCCACCCCGACTGTAGGGGAGGGACTCATGAACCTCCAATTGGTGCACTGCACTATGAGCATAGCAAGCAAGCAAGCAGCCAGACAGGCAGGGGGAAAGGAGGTTTCTGTCAATCAGTGCTGGTGACAGGCCATGCCTCGGGTTTAAAGCAGACATATTTAGAGAATTAAATAAGCAGAACAATAAAACAACAGTATAAGAAGTTTATACAGTGTGCATGTTTTAATCATACAGTGTTTTTCAGCCTATTCTTTTCAGGTTTCTTGTACCACTGACCAAGGAAGTGCAGTAACACCTGTGATCAAATACAACACTGCTACAGGAATCGGTAAATTCACAAAGGCTCCTCCTTGCCATTGCGTGCGGATTTGCTGTCAAATATTACCGGTGCACATGGGCTCTGTGTGTATCTCAAATAATGGAGTGATTCAGATCATGATTCCGTGTACCTGGTTGGGATCACACCATTAACAAGGCATTTCAAGGTGGATTAGACGGACCCCTTAAACTTCCAAGTGGATTTACAGCCTTGGTTTATCCAAAAGGTTAAATGCACAAATTTTCCACCTCCCCTCTTTTATTTTCTGAGAAACAAAGCCAAACTGACTGGAGAAATGGCCAGAGCTCGATAGGGAGAGAGACAGAGGAATCTTTCATTTTGCTGGACACAGTGAGTTGTTTTCCAAGGCCACTCCAAAATCACAGTGATTTAGGGGAAGAGAGGGTTAGGCAAATAATCAGTGTTGTTCTTCATGTGGGATTTAGTTATGTTTTAGTTATGAGAGCAGGGCATTAGTGGTGGAGTTAGAACACTGGGGTGGCTTGCTTCTTTCCCAATTATTATTTTTGCCTAACAAACAATTAAAACTCATAGCTTATTTTTTCTTCAGGGAGGGTACTTCCAGGGAGAAAAAGAAACTGCAACTTCTCCCATTAAAAAATAGTAATAACAAAACTGAAACCGCCTAGCAGGATAGCTCCTATACCCATTTGTCTGAGTGTTAGAAGCTTTTGTGTCCAGGGGCACCTCCTTCATGTCTCCAGTGTTTGAACTGATTGCCCACAAAAGAAACTAGGGGATGGAATATGATTTCTATTTTCAGACCACTACAAGGTAATGTCTGATCCCCAAAAAGTCACCTTTTTAGAGTGGCAGGACCTGTGCTCAGGAATTCCCTGCCTCTGCTGAAAATTTTCCATTCCAGCAAGCCCGTTTTTACCTTTGTTTAAAATATTTTGTTAACCTTACCTTGTTTTTTAACGATGGTTTGATGCATATTTGTTTTTGATTGTGCTGTTTATTTTAGACATGCTTTATCTAAAATTGACTCTGTAGACCTCTTGCATAACTTTTTTTTCAGCAAGTGGTTTATAATTTTTTTTTCAAAAAAAAAAAAAAAGAAAGAATGCACACCCTTTGCTAGAGAGACCAGAGACCCCTTTGAGACTCTTTATTCTATCCTGTTTAAAACTTATTCCTTCAAAAAAGTATTTCCCACCAGACTTCCCTCTTTTAAATCCCCTTCAAGGATTAAATGGACACAGTTGTTGTGGTGTTTTTGGCTCGAGTGCAAGAAAGCTTTTTGCAACATATATTCATGTGAACACACACACCACATACACACACTACCTCCTGATAATTGTTTCAGCTGTTCAAGGTTACGTTGATGAATCAGCCTTCGCTTTTACACACACACACACACACACACACACACACACACACACACACCCTTCTCTTCCTTGGTAGGTGCCAATGCAGAGGTGATTTCCAACCCAAGCAGCAATGCCAGGGCTTAAAACACAGTCTCCAGAGTGCACTAAGCTTTATGATCCAACCCCCTGGCATACTGAGCCACTGCGGCCGCTTGCAAATGAGCAGAGTGTGACAAACAGCCACCAGCATCTTTCCAACACCTTATAAAATCAAACAAGGGGCGAAGATAGATCACACTACATTTTCTCTCTAAAATAATGCGTGCCCACCCTCTTCCTTCCCCAGATATCACAGGCCCTGCGTTAACAACCCCAGGAGATAAGCACGAAGCAGAGGCAAAGCAGGCAACCTTCTACACAGAGCTGTGGTTTGTGGTCCTAATGGCCATCCTTGGCTTGATCCTTTTAGCAGTCCTGCTGTCCCTGATCCTGCAGAGGAAAATAAGCAAGCAGCCGTATGCACGGGAAAGGCCTCCTTTAGTCCCGCTTCAAAAGAGGATGTCGCCGATGAGTGTCTATTCACAAGGAGAGACGCACATGGTATGCCGCTTGGACTGTGAATTGTTTTGCAGGCATGCTCCCCACTTGTGCATGCATGCACACATTAATGCACGCATGCAGACACCTGCCCACGCATGCACATCTAGATGGAGAAGCTTTTTGGCCAAAGGGAAAACTGCAGCTTCTGCCCTGGCAGTGACTATCAGCCCCGTTACGTGTGCTAGTTCACATTAAGCAATTCTCTCGCAATTTCCCCCTCCACCTAGAGAACATACGCCTTTGGGCAGCCATACAAATGTAAACTAATATAAGTAAAGTAATTTGGGGAATCGTAGACTGTGGAGTTGGAAGGGACTACGAGGGTCATCTAGTCCAACCCCCTGCAATGCAGGAAACTTGCCCAACATGGGGCTCAAACCCACAATCCTGAGATTAAGAGTCTCATGCTCTACCGACTGAGCTACCTGGAGAGGCCAGTGGTATCATCTAAGGCAGCTTCCTATGTCCTCAACAGTTAAAGCAAATTCACTAAGCACATGCGTAAGGCTTGCTGCTTGATTTGGGGCAGAGGACAAAAGCGGGAGATCTTTGTGGTATTCTCTCCCCTCTTCCCATAATGTTTCGCCATGTGTACTCATGTCACGTGTTTCGCAACCAGCAGCACAAAGTGTTGGAGAAATGCACAGCCCAAGGAAGGGTGCCTAAATGTTTGGCGCGCGACATGGGGCTGTCATTTGTGGCTGCAGTTCTACACTGAAACCAAGGGAGTTTTAAAATACTTAGCTTTGGCCAGGTGACACCTAAGTAGAGGATAACTCTGCCTACCGCTCAGGATGTGAAACTTGGCAAAGGTACGGTATTTGAAGAGTGAAGCAGCCGCTTTTATCTGTGCCTTGTGCCTTTCTAAAGGGAATCGTTGCAGAATTATATTGCTAGCCATTTCCCCCTCTCCCACATGTGCTGTGTCCCCCCCGCCCCCTTCAGACTGCACGGCATGCTTAAATGTTTCTGTCATTTTTGCAGCTCAAGCCTTTGTTAAAAGCCTCTTAAAAGAGCGCAGCAAGTCAACAATTTTAATTTTTATGTGGCCCCTTAAGGACCTGTCAGTGCTGTGGCTACTCCTCGAGCATTACTGAGTTAGGGGGCCAAGCGGGGGCCTTAAAGGAAAATGTTTGTGTTTCAGGAATGACCCTCAGGAGCTGGGGGATGCTGCTCTCAGCAACATTTCTATGGTGACTCTGGGTGGATTGTAAAGGCTAAATTAGGGCCTGTTTAATCAATTTTAGTTGAGTTTCTGAACTAGTAAAATGAGCTTTGAAAATAGGCTGGTTTGCCTTTTATAGGAATAGTCAGTTGTAGCTGAAAGAAAGGCTCAAGAGCACCAGTAAAAACAAAAACAAAAAAACTGAGGATGCTGTTTGATTATAATAAGCCAAAATGTGTGAAAAGTAGGTATTACAATAGGGAGAGAAAAACCTGAGTGTTGTAAATGCTTAATTCAGGCACCCCCTTGTTACAAGGCTGTAAAAAGTTCAATGAAATGGCTTAATAAGCTCTTCTCCCCTATTCTTTGTTCTGCCTTCTGCTCCTAGCATCAGGCTCATCTCATAGTCTAGATAGGCCTTTAGGAACATTTGAAGCTGTGTTCTTCCAAGTCAGACCACTGGTCAAGCTAGCTTTGTGTTGACCAGCAGTAGCTGCCCAGGGTTTCTGACCTGGATATTTCCCTGCCCTAATTATAGATGCTGGGGATTGAACCTAAGGCTTTCTGCATGCAAAGGATGTGCTCTACCACTGTGTGGTCTCCTCTTCAAAATACCCAGGATCCTTGCCTTCCTTTGATCCCACTTAACCTTGTTAAGGGCAAAGGAATCTGCCTTATACTGAGTAAGACCATGGATGCATCTAGCACAGTGCTGCCTGCGGCAGAAGTAGCCAATGTGATGTCCTCTCGATGATATTGGACTACAACTCCCATCATCCCTAGTCACTTGCCAGACAGTGTGTGGCTAATGGGAACTGGAGTCCAGCAGCATCTGTCGGGTACCATTTTGGGTCCACTACACTGGCTGTCCAGGGTTTCAGACATGGTTTTTTCAATTCCATAAGCGGAGATGCCAGGGATTGAACCTGGGACCTTTTGCACACAAAGGCTTTGTGCTACCTCCAAGCCACAACGTTAGCTGCTGGCATTACCAACACTTTGCTATGTTCTCAGTCCCAAATGGGGGGATCTAGGAACCCCCAGTCCACTCGCAGCTCATATCCAGCTACTGAAAATGAGCTAGGCCTGGGTGGGAGGGGGTCCTCTGGGCCAGTGATGGAGCTTCATGCTCTGGCAGTGGGGGGTGGAGAGCAGGCGGGGGCGGGGCTGGCCTGTGTCTCTCCCCCCCCCTCCTCTTCCTCCGCCAGTGCTCTGGGCTATCCCTGCTCACAAGCATCAAGCATGCTGGCAATGCCTCCTGCTGCCCATACATGAGAAAGGGCCTTACAGGTGGGCTGGCATACACATGTATCCCTCCTACACACAAGGGAGGCACCTGGGGCAGTCAGATGGCTATCGATGTATATGTGAGGTCTCTTCTCACACTCACCAAACGTGGGCAGCAAGGGGCAGCAGCAGCATCAGCAAGGGGGCAGAAAGAATGGAGAGAGACCCATTTTAAAACAGTGAACTTGAAATTGTCATAGTATATAAGTTTATGCTATTGTGTTCTATATATTATATATTGCCATTGTGGGGTATTTTGTTTATTTGATAAGTTTAATTAATATAACATAAATTAAAGCAAGCTTGCCCATCGAGATTTGCCAGCTACCTCTGACCTCAAAGGGAAACTAAAAGCATAGACAGGACAACCTTGTTTCTGCTCCGAGTGTGTCGACAGCGGGGAGAGGTTTACATGTAAAAAAGCCGCATTTCCATTCACTCTCTTTTCTAGTTTTCCTTCCCCTTCGCCTTTGGAAGGTTAACTGTCTGAACTGCTGCTCTTTCCCCCATCTCCTCTGTTTTAACTCCTTGTCTTCTCTGCTGCCTTGCCTCTCCTCCTTTATTTCCTGCACCTATGATGTTTCAAAAAAAAAAAATGCAGAAACCCTCTTTCACTGATAATCCCTGCCATCAGCCTCCTCTTGCTACTTCTTTACAAGTCCCTGTCATCTCGTCTTCACAAGTATCACAGAGCTCAGATAAGGTAAGCCTTTGCGATGCATATGTCTGCATAAACATTGAGAAAGATATATTTCTAAACCGCTAGGCAATGTCTTCTTTCTCCATCCCCCACCCACCCCCACCACTGTATTAGATTGAGGGAGTCGCTCTGTTTTATTATCGCTTTCAAGGTCACCCGGCATAAGGTGCAGATAATTGTAAGTGCAGTTTTTTACACCTAACTCAATTACTGGCTTGAATCTGGAACACTCAGCCACTGCAGTCCCATACAAATGCTAGCAAAACTTGCCTCCGAGAGCAACAAATTGGCTTTCAGTTGCCATAAGCCTTCACTGCAAATACCTTCCCATTTTTCTGACTCCGTATAATGGGGCAATTCCTCAGCTGCTACAGATCAACATCGCTTTGCTTGATGGCACCGGAGTTTCACGGGCTTCCTCCTTGCTGGCGCCGTGGCCCGTGCAGTGCAGACATTCATTGCAAGCTAACCTTCCCGTGGAGCATTTGTCACAGCACCCAGGTCATTTAGAAATGCCATTAATACATTTCTTCCCTTTTTAATCTCAGTTTGAGACGGTTGCCGATACGTCTGAGTCATCAAGCAGCGTCACTCTCAAAAGCTACACAATGCACGCTGAGGTAGTGATTAGTGCGGGTCCGGCCTGGGCGACCAAGCGCTGGCAATTTTCTTGAGTGTTGGCATGAAAGTCTTTTTGCATGACACTTAACTTTATAGCGGAAAGGGGGATGGTGCTGAGCATGCTCTTGTATTGTGTTTCACTGTCCAGGTAATGGAGCAGGTGTAGAACTGGGGTACATGGGCTCAGGCAGAACTAATTGGTTTCTTTAAGAAAATTGAAATTGGGCTGATGCAACAGGTTTGGTTGTTTTTTTTGGGGGGGGAACATAAGAGAGCTGATTTCCATTAAATCACAAACTTGGGATAAGCCACACTTGGGAACCCAGGGGGGTTGAAAAGCTGAGTATTTACAGCTAATGCAGACCGTCTCAATCCATAACCATAATATCCATATTAAGAGCGTCAGAGCCTGCTGGATCAGGGCAATGGCCCATCTAGTCCAGCACCTTGTCTCAAGGATGGCCAACTAAATGCCTATAGGAAGCCTATAAACAGGACCCAAATCCTAGAGCGCTATCCCCTTCTGTGGTTTCCAGAAGCTCCTTTGATCTCCTGGGCATGAATGTGGGCAAGTGAGTAGTGTGTTAGAGTCAAACCCAGAAGAGCTGCATTTTCATTCAATAAATCCTTATTTAATCCCAACATCTTCTAGAAGAGCAAGCCATACCCAGGCTTGCAGGCATGTTTCGAACCTTTCCATTGTCTGAGAGTCTGTCCATTTCTTCCTGTAGAGTGCAATTGGAACTGTTTGGTGTTTTATGTGATAAACTATGTGGCATTGCTTCCTCATCTCTTGGGTTTGCTGTGATTGCAGTGCCTGCTTGTGTCTGTGGGCTTTTTTTTACAGGGCAGGTCACTGGGAGAGCTATGTGACCAAACTCTGAAAGCAGAGAATGTACAAAGCTAGGCATAACCCATATTAGCAGAATCTTTAGAGACCCTACTGATCTACAAGCTTAAACCCCCCAGCAGTCATTCATTAGTGAACCAATGGCCCTGCTCACCTTGCAGGCACTGCTCAGCAAAAGGCTGTTGTTGGAGTGAAATGGGAATTGTGCCGATGACATGCATGTATTGCATGCTTAGCAGGAGATCACCTTGTGAAACTGCATTGCAGAAGGCGATGGTTTCCACAGGGAACAATAGCTGAAGAGAGTGCTAATGATCCTTGCCATGTGTGTTTAATGGTGTTCTGTTATTGGTCATAAACTCTGCTGTGAAGATGAGCTCCTGCAGCATTGTGAAATTAACTCTCATCTGGTCATCAGCTAAGGACAGCTGATGGAAACCAGGGGATCATTTTGTAGTGGAAGCCACAGTATGGTGATACATGGTTTGGTAAAAGCTCTTCCTAAGACAACATTTTATTTATTTTGTCTCCTCCTTCCATGCTTCTAGGGATTAGCAGATACAAAAATTCCAGCACCAGTGTCTCCTTTGAGTATGCATAGCAATCAAAGTACTTCCGGCTTTCCAGTACCAGGCCAAAGCCAGATGCAGCGTACTTATTCCCAAGGTTCTCTACATCGGAGTGTCAGTCAGCTTATTGATGTCTACGACAAAAAGTCCTTAATAGAAGATACCGTTTGGGATACCATTATTCATGGCCATGACAGTGGTTTGGTAAGTTCTTTTCAAGGGAAGACTGATAAGCTTTTGGGG